GAAAGCTCCCAGGAAGAGAAAAAGAAAAAAAAGAAAAAAAGAAAATAAAGGAGAAAAAGAAGAAAAAAGAAAGAAAAGATACTTGATTTGAGGATGGTGTGCTTAGGGTTCTGCTGTAATGCATGTTATTATAACAAGAATGAACTCGAATGGAGAGCCAAGGATTATTTATAAAGTAAAAAGGACCAAGGAACTACAAGTTACACTATAATATCCACTAACACCACCAGTTACTAAATAATCAGCAAGGTACAATCAGCAAGTTGGAAGGCTGTTGGAGTGCGCATCCAATATGTGCTGGAGCTGTTTTTTTAGCCAGTTAGTTGTAGAACGTCAGTACCGTCGGTCAGTGTCGTGCAATGTTATCGCATGAGCTAGTCAACAATGAACACTCAACGACAACTGCTACATATCGCGACGTTCAACGTCCGTGGAATATCATCTGTGACGAGGCAACAGCAGCTGACGAACGATTTGAAAAATTATCGTGTTGACTTCTGCGGCTTTTTTTATTTTATTTTTTTACTAGAGCCACGTAAACCCGTCATGTGTGAGCCATGAATAAGGGGAGTGGTGGCGTGGTCTGGGATGCTCTGCCGACCTTGGGTCTCGGCTTCATCACAACCAGGCGCGCCAATAGAAGAGAGAGAGAGGAAGAGAGAGAGAGGAAGAGAGAGAGAGAGAGAGAGAGAGAGAGAGAGAGAAGAGAAAGAGAGAGAGAGAGAAAGAGAAAGAGAAAGAGAAAGAGCTTGAAAGAGAGACAGAGAGACAGAGAGAGAGAGAGAGACAGAGAGAGACAGAGAGAGACAGAGAGAGAGAGACAGAGAGACAGAGAGAGAGAGAGTGAGTGAGAGTGAGCGGGAGGGTTGGGAGCAACAGAGAGAGAGAGAGAGAGAGAGAGAGAGAGAGAGAGAGAGAGAGAGAGAGAGAGAGAGAGAGAGAGAGAGAGAGAGAGAGAGAGAGAGAGAGAGAGAGAGAGAGAGAGAGAGAGAGAGAGAGAGAGAGAGAGAGAGAGAGAGAGAGAGAGAGAGAGAGAGAGAGAGAGAGACAGAGAGAGAGAGAGAGAGAGAGATAGATAGATAGAGAGAGAGAGAGATAGATAGATAGAGAGAGAGAGAGAGAGAGAGAGAGAGAGAGAGAGAGAGAGAGAGAGAGGGAGGGAGAGAGAGAGAGTGAGCGGGGAGGGTTGGGTTGGGGAGCAAGAGAGGGGGAGAGAACTAAATATAGTATAATTATATAATGCGTAAGGGGTGCACATTCAGATCCAGAAAAACGGGTAAGCAGGGCACGAGGCGTATGGCAATATGCAGCAGTGTGTAGGCAGATGTGCATACATATTATTACTTACAGGATCGAGATGAAACTTCAGGACAGCTTCGACAAGCAGATTGGTGAAGGCTATCGGCTTGTGGGCTTTGGACAGGACAGCGGCCGACATGGCGGCATTGGCTTTGCAGTTTCACAATATTTATCTCCGTTCCTTACCAGATACAAAAAACTGTTGGAACACGTCGGATACGCCGACATCAAGATCCCCCAGGACCGGCGGGCACGACAGAGTCGACTGACGGCACTGGACGTGAGATTCACCGTGGCCTACGGCCCAACCAACCCGACTGCCACTGCTCGCCCTGCTCTCCGAGACGAATTCTACCAAACGCTTTCACGAGCATGGAAGACTCAGAGCAGTAGAACACTCAAAATCTGCCCCGGAGATTTCAACAGCAAAGTTGGTTCAACTCCCAGCGCTTGTGTCGGCCAATACAGCAAAGGAGTTAGAAACGAGAATGGAGCTGCGCTGGTGGAGTGTGCTGCTTCTCAACAACTCCTGCTGGCAAACACTGTATTCCGATATTCAATGCGTTACAGGACTACCTGGACAGGCCATGTCAAGGTCAAGGGAACAGGCCAAACAAAGAAAATCTACAACATGATTGACTACGTGCTGCTCCCTACGCACTTGCGTCCGCAGCTGATTAGGGTACGCTCGTACGGAGGGACACAGCTTGCCAGTGATCATAAGCCCGCTATTGCCGATCTGGAGACAAGCCGATTGTTCAGAGCATACGATGCAAAATCTACAAAAAGTATGAAGAAACCTCTTGCTGTGGCGGAGCTTGCGAATCCTGAAAAGAGCCTCAAATACCGAGAATACCTAAAGCCGAAGCTCCAATCCTCTCTACTGTTCTCTAGTGTGGCAGACAGCATTCTCGTTGCGGATTTCTGGAAATCTACAACCAACCTAATGAGGGAGTCAGCCAAAGAGGTTGTTGTACACATGAGACGCTCAAATCGTGGCACTCTGATAAAAGAAAGTGCGGAAATTCAAGAACTATCCCGTGAGCAAAGTCGGCTCAGGGTTCTGATCGACTCTGGGCCGAGCAACGCAGCAGAGCTAAAGAAAGCAAGAAAGCAAGTTCTCCATAAAATCAGAAACACGCAGCGTTCAGAGGCCAACGATTGCCTCGACAACATTGCTGAACAAATCGATAACGCTCCTGATTCGGTGAAGATGTTTCAGGCGGTGAAAGCCCTGAAACGGAAGTCTGCAGATAGTTCGGTGAGGGTTGAGTCTACCGACGGTGAAGTTGTTGCCCAGAACCAGGAAAAAGCAGACATAATCGCGGCGCACTTTCGACAGCAGTTCTATTCTGCGCTGATATCAACAGTCGAACGCCCAACGCCCCATAAGCCGGAGGTTCCCGTGGCCATTGCTGAGGTGAGCCGAGCCCTTCAGCGGTTGAAGAACCAAAAGGCCTGTGGAGAGGACCTGGTGCATGGAGAGCTGCTGAAATATGGCGCAGAATATACCGGTGCACTTTACGTCAGACCGCGGAGAAAAGGCACACATAGCAGATTGGACTGCTGCCCTCGAGTTGCCCGGATGTTGCTGGGGACGCCAACTGGAGCGGTGCGTGTGAACATCTCCTGAAGCAGGGGGCTGGCTCTGTGGTGGAGGCATCGATAAACTAGGACCAGAAGCTTTTGATTTAGCAGTTGCAGTAGGCTGGGGACACCGAGCAGGGATAGAAGAGGGGCTGTGGGCACGCAGTTACGCTGTTGGAGGGTTGCCCGCAGACCCCTCTTGGAGAGTTTGCAGACTTGATCAAGAAGGGTCTTGGATATGCTGGACAGGAAGCAGTTGGAACCATATACTGTAAAGTACCGTTGATCCGCCGCCACGCCATGTCGGTTCCCAGCTGGGTTTTCGGCAGGGGGCGGGAATTAGATCAAGGCTGTCAAGTGCAGTACGATGTACAACAACGTAGAAGTTCAGACTCGATGTGCTGGATTGTGCACATTTTCATCCTGGATTGGCAAATTTGTGTACAGCAGTGCATGCGTCGGTTCAACATCGTATTTTCGTTGTATACGCCGAAGTCGTTTCACAGGTAGAAAATCGACAGGGGGCGGGAATTAGAGAGGGGGCGGATCAACGGTACTTTACGGTACTAATAATATTGTGACTGGATCATTGAAGGTACCAAATTTTGCCTGGCCTTCAAGCTCAGACAACATCCATGCCGCCAAAGCTGACCAATAGCACAGGCTGTTCTCTTGGAAAGATGACTGACATGGGGAGCCCAAGAGAGATCCTCGTCAATGGTCACTCCAGGGTACTTGGCAGAGGTGGTGATGGCCAAAGCTTGTCCACGGCTGTCGGCAGTGTACCTGACTGGTTATAGCAAGAGTCCATAAAACAAGAGTGTGCAACGCGCGACAGGGTCTTGTCACGACTCGTTTTCAACATTACGTCATTTTCATGTACATTTTCATGTAGAGAATGTCGCGGCCTGCACGCGCAGCTACATGAAAATGACGTAATGTTGAAAACGAGTCGTGACAGACATCTATGTGGCGTTGCACACTCTTGTTTATGGACTCTTGCTGTTATACTGGTTGCACCTCTGGGCTTGATGAATAGCACCTGGGTTTCCTGCGCATTCAGTAGCAGTCCAATATCGTCTAGCCAATCTGCTACCCTAGTGACGACCGCTGACAACTTCTCACACACCACTCTGGGATCAGAGTGCGAGCAGTCTAGGTAGGGAGCAGGCCCGTCGCACCGACTTTGGATGTGGGGCGGCCATGGAAGGGAGGTGCGGGGGTCCTCCCCTGGGAAAAATTTCAAATATTGAAGCCAATTGCAAGCATTTCCAGGCATTTGCCAAATGCCATTTGCCGCCATTTCAGTGTAACTGCAATGAAAGACTTTTGACTCTGCAACAAACCACGATCGATCGATCGGGGACAAGGATTTGCCACGTTTGCGCTGAGCTGCTATCATCGCGCTTTGTTGCAGTGTGCTCCAAAAAAAAAGAGAAAAAAACGGCTCAACCTGAGCCGCCCCGGCTGTGACGGCCTTGGGGAGTGATGTCATTCCATATGCTTTGTGTAGAGTGCAGGTTTGGGGAGTGATGTCATTGCATACGCTTTGTGTAGAGTGCAGGTTTGGGGAGTGATGTCATTGCATATGCTTTGTGTAGAGTGCAGGTTTGGGGAGTGATGTCATTGCATATGCTTTGTGTAGAGTGCAGGTTTGGGGAGTGATGTCTTTGTGCTTGTATTCAATGGGGAGGAGGTTGGCGGGAATGATGTGATTGCACAATGTGCATGCTCTGTGTGGCGTGGCGGTTTTATGGAATGATGTCGTGTACACATATCGAATGTTCACGGGCTTTTGACCGTGTGTGCATCTGCATACACCGAATGTTTTTAAAACGTTTTTGTTTGTTTAGGACGACAGTGCGCCAACACTGGCCGCAGGACAGTACATCAGAACTCTGCAGCGTGTGAGGCTGGTCTGCACCTCCACCAGCCGGACACGCAGGAGCACTGCCAAAGGTGGCAAAGATTCCGCTACCAAGTGGGAGATGCAGGACCTCAGTGAGTAGCAGTTGCATGCGTATATGCACCTCATTGACCCTCGCTCAATCCACATTCTTCCTTCCGTTTGGCTTAAGCGAAAACTAGCCAAGCTCAGTTTCTTAGGGATGCCAACGCGAAAAAGGCTGACAATAATAATAATCTTCACTAGTTTGATGGAAAGACACAAGCGGGAAAAGTCTGAAGAAAAAATTGACTGTCACCACCAGGGAATAATAAATACTATTTTATGTTTCACATCTTCATTTCAAGTTTCCTAATAAAGATTGTGTCAAGTAGTAGTAGTAGTAGTAGTAGCAGCAGCAGCAGCAGCAGCAGCAGCAGCAGCAGCAGCAGCAGCAGCAGCAGCAGCAACAGCAGCAGCAGCAGCAGCAGCAGCAGCAGGAGCAGGAGCAGTAGCAGTAGCAGTAGCAGTAGCAGTAGCAGTATTAGCAGCAGCAGCAGCAGCAGCAGCAGCAGCAGCAGTAGTAGTGCATGTGTGCATGTGTATGTAGGTTGGTCGTTGTTTTCATCGTTGCTTTGTTATGCGCATTTGTGCCCTGTCCTCTCTATCCAGCTTCAGCAATAGAAATCCAATATACTTCAAGGTTACAGGTTATTGCCTCTTTTGTTACACTGCGGTAAGGAAAGTAGTGAGAGAGAGAGAGAGACAGACAGACAGACAGACAGACAGACAGACAGACAGACAGACAGACAGACAGACAGACAGACAGACAGACAGACAGACAGACAGACAGACAGACAGACAGACAGACATAGAGAGAGAGAGAGAGAGAGAGAGAGAGAGAGAGAGAGAGAGAGAGAAAGAGAGAGAGAGAGAGAGAGAGAGAGAGAGAGAGAGAGAGTTGTATGTGTATATGCGTGTGGGTGTGCACACACTTTAGGTCTGGATGGGAGGGCTGGGGAAATTGTATGTGGAGGTGGGGGGGCAAGTGTGTGTGCATAGGTAGGTGTGTGTATATGTCTGATTGTCTTTCGATTGTGTTTATGCATGCCCTGGTTTCTCGGATTTCCTCCCTTATAAAAACCGCCTTCTCCCTCTCATCACTCACTATTTTCATTCGGAAGAAGACAACTGTCGAAACTTTAAACATAATTATATGAGTATCGGCCATCTTGTCTTGTCCCTGTTGTGTGGTCCACCTATTCACCATTGCAAGTTGTGACTCCCTGGGCTGGACCTATGCTCAGGCTGCTGGCCCGTCACTGTATGGTTATCAGCCTTTGCCGAACTGTCTGTCTGTCTGTCTGTTTGTCTGTCTGTCTGTCTGTCTGTCTATGCATCTGTCTATGTCTGTGTATCGAAAGTTTCCACTTGCTGGTTGATTGCGGGTTTTTGGTTTTTATGGGAGGGTGACGTGTGTCGGGGAGAGTTTTGTTCGAAAAGTATTGATAGTTGAAATATCAACCCATTCCAGCTGTCAAGTCAATTGTTTTTCATTCAGCTGGTCGGTGGGTGGGGGAGGGTGACTCATAATTGGACTATTCTTGTCCTGTGAAGACTGCCCATAATGCCGGATGGCCCCTAATATATAATGCGTTTCAAAAATATAGACGCGTTATTTCAAAAAAACCGTTAGGCCAGCATCTATACCACATAAAATCTGCGATCACTTTGTGCATAACTATTTCAAAATAGGGCGTGTGCTATCCGATCGCTTAAAACTCTCTATGAGAGTAATCGCGGGAAGGACCTCAGCAATATTCCGAAAAAAATTCTCAAAAAGCTGAAATATTTCAAAAAATACCATGTGTCTATATTTTTGAAATTGACTGCTGTTACCGGGCAGTACAATGGAATGTCCTTTAGCAGGACTGTTCTAGGGGCCTTCCAACATTGCTTGGTGCGTTCGACGGGTTTAGGGGTCTTTTCAACACCGTTCCCTGCTCTGGAGGCTGCAATTGGTGTTGCTGCGTTTCCTTGTTCTGTTTTTTTGGTTGGCTTTGTGAGCAGTGATGCTCCGCTGGGTGCGTCCGTATGTGTGTACGACAAGGAGAGGGTAAAGGCTACGTTCGACGACACTCCAGGTCGTAACTATGCCGTTTCCGACCCCGCGGACCCATCCTACAGTGCACCGTTTCCCAAGGTGAGTGAGCGCGCGATGAGTTGCTCAGGTAGTCGTTCTAAAGCGAATAAACTCGCCATGCAAATCTCTCTTGACTACAGTCAAACCTGTGACTAACGACCACCCCTTGCCCTTGGGGCCAGAGAAAGTGGTCTTTAGTGGCAGGTGGTCCTTAGTTACAGGTTTGCACCGCCCAGCCATATATGAATGTGAGACCGTCCGTGCCTGATGAAGTGGTCTGTAGTACCAGGCTGGTTGCTAGTGACGGTGGTCTGTAGTACCAGGCTGGTTACTAGTGACGGTGGTCTGTAGTAGCAGGCTGGTTGCTAGTGACGGTGGTCTGCAGTACCAGGCTGGTTGCTAGTGACGGTGGTCTGTAGTACCAGACTGGTTGCTAGTGACGGTGGTCTGTAGTACCAGGCTGGTTGCTAGTGACGGTGGTCTGTAGTAGCAGGCTGGTTGCTAGTGACGGTGGTCTTTAGTACCAGACTGGTTGCTAGTGACGGTGGTCTTTAGTACCAGACTGGTTGCTAGTGACGGTGGTCTT